GGGGGGGGAACCAGGAGTCTTGTTATTATAGGCCATTGAGAGTTGGCTAGCATCACACAACTGCCTGTGTCCAGAAAGAGGGAAAGCTCTGGGATATGCCACACGTGAAATGATGGATTAGCATTCAATACTTGTTTATTGATTATAATTATCATACATACAATGATGTATTTGATGAACTGAAATTGAATTCAATAATATGGAGGCTAGCTCGCAGTCACTGGAACTGCATTGCAAAGATGAGCTCGCCTGTGGGGGCGGCAGCACATACAAAACGCAGGCGCAAAAAGGAGGAAACGCAGAGCACCCGAAAAAAAGACCGCATTCCAGAAACAATAAAGTATACAAATTCACTTCTCACCCTCCTATTGAACATGTGGCATAACGTCGCAAATCTGCGACCAATATCGCTGTGCTGCGACAAACTCACAAACCTCTACAGCAGGACAGAGGAACATCGAGTACGAACCAAGCGTCAGAGAACACGAACAGGGCACTCGGTCCTTTCCTCCTCAGGTTGTGTTTCCTGGCAACCTGCAGAGCTTGATTGCCAGCCACAAACTACTCCTGTCCCCAACCCATCAAGTAAAAAACTCTCTGAAGCCACGTATTGAATACAGGGAGGACTTCCAAACCCGACGCCCTACACCCTCTCCCCCTCCCCCCCAACTACTCTCGTTCTTCTAACTTCCTCATTGCTTCCCTCCTTTTCCTGTCAGCGTCCCAATCAACAACCCCTCGGCATGTGCACCCCGCTTCCCATCTATACCTTTTCGACAGCCAACATGCAAGTGTAAAACAAAAAGCCTCTCAACGGCCAAATCGGCTATACAGTAGTCAAGCGCCCACGAACAGCCAGCGGCATTTGTGTTGCCAGCGTAGCCTTCCAGTGAGCATCCTCGATTACGGGATCCTAAGGCTTCGATCGCCACAGTGCTGCACAGCAGCAAGGTGACTGGCGGAGCGAGATTTATTAGCGAACACGAACTCATGACCCAGCAACCTGAGGCCAGCTACAGATCTCAATACACATCATCCAACCATAGGCGGGGAGAAAAAAGTGCACAAAATGTCGGGTGGGTTGGGGGAGAAAAAGAAAATACCATATTGCACTACAATAAAGTAATCACGATTTGAACCCTCCTCTCCTCGTTCACTGGGCGGTTGAAGGCTGCCTTTCGCGCTCCTCCAGCATTACGACCCTTCCAATGCACGCATTCATCCATCCATCCATCCATTAACCCATGCGTGGATCCATCCACCACCCATTCTTCTCATCAGCACAAGAACAACTGATACAATGCAAACAACTAGGCACAACTTCACTGTTCATGCCCACCTGAAGGACCTTCGCTGCTCATGCCCACTAGAACCACCCTTGCTGCTCCTGTTCACTTGAACCACCCTTGCCGCTCATTTCCACTTGAACCACCCTTGCTGCTCATGCCCCATTTGAACCACCCTTGCCCGGTGACATCTGCCCGTACCCCGACAGGCAAATTGCTGTAGGGCGGCTCCATTTCTGTAGAGTTAGCTCACAGAGTGAGGCAGGGAGAGTAACGAGAACCCTTGCCTCCCAGAGTGTCAGCCGGTGGACATGCTCAGCATACAGGATGCAAGCACACCGTTTCAACCATTGCGTTGCGGTCAGAATTTCAAGTATTCAAGTATGCTATTCATCCTTCGAACTACCTAGGCAGCCAAATCCAAAGGTCCCCAAAAGTCACCTCCATATTCGGATCTTTTCCGCACCAGCACCACCCAACCAGATGAGAAAGAAACAAGGAAGACCTCCGAAGGACAGTCCCTACGACAATTCAGGGTACGCGGTGAGAACAAATCAAAGTAGGCAAGAAAAGGCAGTAATCAAGGAGCAAGGAGTACAGAGAGATCTGCATCAACTTGAAGTCTTGAATTTGTAATGAGCTGTGCAGGTTAATAAAGGCAACAGCAGGGTCCCTTAACCAGAGATTCAGATGCTGCTGCTTGCTGTAAGGGGGGGCTGGAGGCGCTGGCGAAGGAGAATGAAAGTCACCAACCTGCTAAGCAGTCAAGATAAAGAGCTTTGCTGCCGAGAGCAGAGCACATGCTGCTCTCTGCACTATGCCAGACTGGCGAATAGAATGGTTGACCATAGAGACAACTTGTCGGTTCTGAACAACGAAAGAGTGTGGCTCGCTAAAGGAAACCCGGTATATGGTCTGGCTGTTGGTCAGGATGAGATGAGATCGGCAGCCAAGAATCAATCGGTAACTCTGACAAGAGGAGCCACACTCAAAGAGAGGCCATCCTACGAGAAACAAACCGTCAGCTCAGTAGGGGCAAAAGGCGGTAGCCCGAAGATAACAGAAGCGACTCATCGATCATCAAACTCGTCGTCATCCTCGTAATCATCCCCGATGGACGGTGTTCCCTCACTCCTATCTCCAGGAGATGGGTACTCTCCATTCCTATGCCCACTATGACCACCAGCAACCTCGATGTTGTCTCCGTCAAGTTCGTCCTCCATCTCGTCATCCATGTCATCCTCTTCATCGTGCTCCAAGGGGTCGGCCATCTCCCTTCCTACATGGTCTTCTTCATTCTCATCATAATCCTCCTCCTCCTCAGGTCCTTCCATATATTCATGCTTCCCAATCTCTCCATATCCTTCGTCCATGCCGTGGTGATCCTCACCTTCATCTTCCAAGCCATCCACCTCCTCTTCCTCCTCCTCCTCCTCCTCTTCCATCTCCTCCTCCTCTTCCTCCTCTTCCCTTTCCGATCCTTCCTCGCCTTCTTCAAGGTCATCGTCATCTTCTCTGTCTTCATCATCCATTCCCCCCTCTCTATCCTCTTCATTATCATCCTCATCCGCAGAGCCCGCTTCATCATCAAGGTCGTCATGACCCACCAGCACATCCTCCTCGTCCTCCTCTTCATCATCCCCCTCCTCCTCTTCACCATCCCGCTCATCATCATCCACCTGCTGCTCTTCTGATGCCTCCCCAACATCCTGTCCATCATTTGCTCGATCGTAGTCAGGGGACTCCCCACCAGCATCTAACCTGTCTGCCTCCTCTTCTTCGTCAGACTGGTCCCCTGACCTGTGCAGTTCAGACCTCAGATTCCCAGCACGTAACCTCGGATCGACTTGTCGGTGGTTTGCGTGCCCTTGGCGCCCCAATACCCTGGTTGTATCTCGTCTATACGCAGTAGCTATGATTCTGTGCCCATCCTCCGCCTTCTTTCTACCCCCTCTTCTCCAACCCCCTCTTCCCCTACCGCCACCTCTCCCACCTCGGCCTCTCCCTCTCCCACTTGCTCGCGTGCCCTCCTCCACTCTTCCTGTTCCTCTTCCACCCCGTGCAATCCCCTCTCCACCACGACCACCTTGTGCACCTCTTCCACCCTGCCTTCTCCATCGGCCACCACCCCCGCCACGGCCTCCTCTACCACCCCTACCTCCAGCACCGCCCCCTCTTCCTGATCCTCCACCGCTAGCACCTGTGTGATGCGCACCGCCAGAGGCCATTGGAGCAGTACGAGGAGCTCCCCTGCCTGAAGCTGATGCTGGTTTACTCTGCCAAACGGGAACCGACATCAACACAACCAGGGCAAAGGACAAATGTCAGCACCATTGCCACAAAATCACTAAGTCTTCTCCTTTTCCGCTTGCATTGAACCACCAGTACCCTGCACAGGCAAACTTGAGAATTGAAAATGCATCAATCCGGATTCGTCGGATGAACAGTGCTACCGGACCAAAATGGTCGGCTGCGCCAGCCAGAAAAGAAGAAAAAGGGGCCACTGGCGGTTTTTTTCTTCTTCTTTTTTTTCACTTTTTCTACACCTCTCAAGTCATTTCACAGAGTCGAACAAGAGTCAAGCTCAACATGCTCTTCTTTACCCGCCGATTCTTCCTAGTCAGTTCCCTTGGCTGCGGTTTCGCAGGATGGTAGGCACGCAGTGCAAATCCGCATTGGGAAAAAGAGCCATGGAGGTACTGTTGGCTTAAAGTCCACAGTAAGATTATTACGCAAAGACAACACTGACGCACAGAACTCTTCTGAGAAAGGAGGTTATGTTTGTTTTGTGACTCTCAAAGCAGGGACAAATTCAAAAATGTTTCAAGTTTCCACTTTAAACCATCATAGAATCACAGAATACATACAACCCTGAAGAGAGAGGAAGGAAGTTTAAGACCCTGTTGAGGGTAGCTGAGCGGGGAGTACTGATATGGTTTGGTCACACAAAGCAGCTCACGTTGTCCTGGGCAAAACCGAAAACACCTTTGCCCCATCCCCCACCACCCCAAGATCATGCTATCACCCTCACTGTGTCCTTGTTGAGTTTGGATTATGAGCTTGGCCTGTGCCGTACACCTGAATTCTGAAACGTCAAGACATACTCTAAACTGAGACTGGCGATAGGATAGGCAACAAGAGTAAACCCCACACCGAATTTGTCGGACTCATCGAGTCGGCCCGTAGCCCAGGTACATATACCCCAGCCGCCCCTGGTTGCATTTTTCTAACGCCACTAAGACGGCACAATTTGACACATCTGCTGCTCCTCTTGCATCTCAGAAAGGAAACCTGCCTCGTTACTTCACCTTTCCGTTTCTGGAAAGAAGGCATTGATCTTTGCTCTGCATGGTGCCAGGCCATCTTGCTTTCATTCAGTGTGCTGAGGTGAACACTTCACAGCCTGATAATGAGGGTACGCAACCTCATGCCGAAGCATGGGGTAATCCTAAGGGGTTAAAAAAAACGAAAATAAAAAAAGACACACAAATCAAAAAAAGAACAAGAGTTGCTCATGCCCTGTGCCATGCTGTTCAGAAACAATCAGTCGTTCACCACACCCTACCTCACCCCGAAGCATGGGATCATCCCTTTTTTTTAGTTCTTTGTTTTAAAAGGTTTCCACATCTCTTAGGGCCGATGGGTCCAAGCGCTTCTCATATGGAACCCTTTGGTCTTCGACGGTCTCATTTGAATAATCCGAAAGTGTTAAACGAAATGAAAATAAGAAAACAAGCAAACAAAAAGGGCAGAGTTGCTGATGTTCTGTGCCATGCTGTTCAGAAACAATCAGCCGTTCCACATGCCCTACAACTCTCTCTCTCTCTCTCTCTCTCTCTCTCTCTCTCTCTCTCTCTCTCTCTCTCTCTCTCTCTCTCTCTNTGTGTGTGTGTGTGTGTGTGTGTGTGTGTGTGTGTGTGTGTGTGTGTGTGTGTGTGTGTGTGTGCAATCAACTTGCACATTGGAAAATCAATTTGACATTCTGATATCATCCTTGAACTGACCGGCGCCAGGTAATTCAGATGTTCATCTTGGACTGAAAGGCCCCAGGTAATTCAGGAGCTCATCTGTTTGCATCTGGATTTGAACTCAGGTCTAAATTTCAACATTTCATGCATGTACATGACTGAAGATCAGAGCCTACCTTTTTGGTCTCAACCCTTTTCACTTCAACCTCGTTTGCCGTCTTCCCACGATCTTCAGCCTCTTGCTCATGCTCCATGCCGGGAAGGCAATCATCCTTTCGATACAACAATGCAGCATCAAAGGACCATATCCTTAGAGCAACCGCAGACGAGGTGTGGGGAATCCAAGGGAGAATCGCCACATCAGGGCCCGCTTTTGCGCTGATGTCGTTCGCCCAGACAGATCCATCATGCTTCTGAGTCTGATTGATATCACACAGCACCTCCCAGGTTGGCTTGAAGTCATCCGACAGCCAGTCCCGCTGCACCACATTTTCGAGTTCCGCAAGCACCTGGAAACATAATAGTGTGATTAAGAACATCAGACACCTCTTCCACCCATGAAACAAAAGTGGAACCCCGCTTGCCGCTAGAGCACAATTCACTACAAGAAATTCGAGCTAAAACATCTGATATCATAACTGGTCTACTAATGGCAGCTAGTCCCTCCGGCAACTGAGTTTACAACTTTATACACCTTTTGCCTGCTTAAGCCTTACCTCACCTTTGATGTTGACAGCGAGGGAAGGATCATCTAAAGCTTCTAAAGCCAAAAAGTGCAGAACAAGTAACATCCTCATGAAGCCATGCATACGAGAAAAGTGAAACATGGACTATTGGGAGATAGAAGCACCTGCAGAAGCTCTTTCGGGGTGGCCGCACGCTTCAGTTGCACTGCCCATGACGGGCGATCGTGCTTGTACCAATTCAAGTCAACTGCCTCAACTGGAATTGCAGCCTGATACACAAACATTCAAAGAGTAGTAACACAAGAATGATGTAAGCAAACTGGTTTTTCTACTGGAAGAAACATACAAGAAGCCGCAAGCTGTCGCATTCCCTCCAACGTTATTCCTCAAGACAATTCACCAGAGTATATTGCTTGTACTGTTACCATAACCGGTCCTCTCTCTCTCTCTCTCTCTCTCTCTCTCTCTCTCTCTCTCTCTCTCTCT